CTGGGCTCCTTACAGCACTCCTGCCCTGCCACCAGATCTCTCTCTTCCTGGGATCTGTGGTCCAGGAACATACATGGTCCATGCCAGACCACGGTTGTTGCCAGACCAGGGAGTCCCGGTTAAGAGAGGTACAACCTGCACTGTGTAATTTCGTATTATCTACAAATATTGCCACCACAGTATTTATACCTCTCTCAAGAGCATTTATCAACACATTGAACAGCATTGCTCCCGGTACATATCCCTGGAGAACCCTGTCTCCACTGTGAAAACTACAACAAGGGAGGTTGAGGTTGGACATTAGGATCAACATCCTGCCTGTCAGGGTGGTTAAACTCTGGAATAAGTTGCCTAAGGGGATTGTGGAATCTCCATCTCTGGAGATATTTATGAGCAGGTTGGACATACACTTGTGAGGAATGGGCTTGTTGGTGCTTGGTCCTGCCATCAATGTAGGAAGACTGGACTTGCTGACCTCTCGAGGGTCCTTCTAGTTCCATAATTCTAAGAAAAATGACCATTTATTCCTACTCACTGCTTCCTATCTTTTAACCAGTTACTGATCCAGGAGAGACCCTTCCCAGGACTCCTTACCTTGCTGAAGAGCTGTTGTTGAAAGACCTTGTCAAAGTCTTCCTGAAAGTCCAAATACACTAGATATCCAATCAATCAACCTCATCCATGTTTGTTGACCTAGGCAGAGAATTCTAATGGACTGGCGAGGCATGAGTTCCCATTACAAAAGCCATGCTGAATGTTTTCCACCATACTATCTGTGTCTGAGAATTCTGTTCTTTACTAGAGTTTCAACCAACATTTGCAATACTGAAGCGAGGTTTACTAATCTGTAATAGCCAGGACTGCCTCAGATGCCTGTTTTTTATGAATCAGCATCACATTAGCTATTTGCCAATCATCTGGTAGACAAGATAATTTAAACACCCAATTACAAACCACAGGTAGTAGTTCTGTCAGTTCACCTCTGAGTTCCTTCAGAACTCTGGGAAGAATGCCATCTGGTCCTGGTGCCTTGTTAAAGGTTAGTTTATCAATTTGTTCCAAAGCCTCCTCTACGGACCCCTCACTCTGGGCTAATTCCTCAGATGTGCCATGTGGAGAGAATGGTTCAAGTGTGAGAACCTCCTCCGCATCCTCTGCGGTGAAGGCCATTTGAAAGAATTCATATAGCTCCTCCACAGCAACCTGGTTTTCTTTGAGGCTTCTTTAGCACCTCCATCAGCCAGTGGGCTCACTGATTGTTTGGAGAGTTTCTTGCTTCTAGTGTCCTTAATCTTTTTGTTTTTCTGCCTTCAGCTAGTGGCTCTTCCAATTCTTGTTTCACATGCCCAATTATACTTGACTCGAGAATTTGCTCTCCTTTCATTTTCCTCAGTAGGATTGTATTCCAATTTTTAGAAGATATCTTTTTGTCTCTTTACTTGCCTTTTTGGCTGTTTATCCACAGTGGCATTTTTTTGGTCCTCTGTTTTTTTATTTAAGGTGTAAATATACTTTGAGCCTCTACTATGGTATTTTTTAAAAGTTTCATGCAGCTTGTAGGCATTTCACTCATGTGCCTGTGCCTTACAATTGCCATGTAACTAGCTTCCTCATTTTCGTGTAGTTTCCCTTTTTGAAGGTAAATGCTACTGTGGTGGATTTCTTTGCTATTCCCCCAACAAGGATGTTAAATTGAACTACATGATGATTGTTATTACTGAGCAATTCAGCTATGTTCACCTCTTGGATCAGCTCTTGATTTAGTCCTCCATGCACAAGAACAGTCTCTTATGTCTTGTAGATTCCAGGAATAGCTGCTCCAACTAGTCATTTATGGTGACTAGAAACTTTACCTCTGCATCCCACCCTGAGGCAGCAGTGCCCAGTCAATATGGATATAATAAAAATCCCTTATTATTATACATTTTACAGCCTCTAATCTCCCTGTATATTTTGCAGGCACAGTAACCATCCTGGTCAGCAGTCCGTTGTATGTTCCTACCACTGTTTATGTGCCTATACACCCAGATGCTTTGTCAGTTTCAGGAAGAAGCCAAGGGAGCAACACTTTACCAAAAAGAAGTTGTGGATGGGTGGGAGGAAAAGGGGAAGTGATACGGGTCAATTCCTAGCATGAGTCAAGTGGAATTCCAATACCACATAAGAGATTAGTTTGGCACAGGCCCAAGGAAATCATTGGTGTCATATAAACTCCAAAGTTAGGGAAGTAGAGCTGATGAAACCCAATGGAAATTATCTGGTTTTTGCCCAAGTCCTAGGCAAAGGAGGGAACCAAACCCAAAAGGGAACAGACCAAACAAGTACCAAAAAGCTCATTTGCACTCTCTGAAACACCCGCTAGCTTCCCTGTTACTTGAGCAATAGCACAGTAACAGAAGGAAACCTTGAGAGGAGAGAACAACATATGTGAAAGGTCGAAACTCCTCCATGCTCAGTTAGAAAAAAGGAACCTGCTCATGCATACACACCGCCCCTTTCAATGCATACCGAACAGTAGAGGGCAACTGAGTCACACTCTGTTAATATGGGCTACAATAAAGGTTCCCGGTAGGCTGGTCGCCCACACAGCCCTTTTCTGAGCCCCACGCACAGGTTCAGAGCTCCCCCACGCAGGCAGGGAGCTCAGCTGATCAGCTGGGGAAGGGGGGGTGCACTTGCTCTCTCAGAGGGGCAGAAGCAGCAGATCAGGCAATAGGAATGGCTCATGGCTCCCAAACTCAACGCTACCTCAGCCAGGGCTGGAGCTGCAAGCCCCTTGATGTGTTAATTCAAAGCCTCTGGCCCCAGACAATTCTGAAGGGAGGCTTGTCCCCAGCCCTGCCTCTGCTACCCAAGCTTCGCCCCTTCAAGGGGTGGAGCTGGTCTGTGACCACATACCAAAATTCATGAAGAGGCCTTTAAAAATTATTGCCCACCCCTGCTCTGGTACCACAGCAGACATTCAGTGTATGAACCCACTTCATACTAAATTGTCATTGTGTCAATTTAAACTATGGTGGCAGCATAAAAGTTATCAATACCATTGTGTCAATGGAATTCTTTTGTTAACACTCAAACATTAAAAACCACATGCATTAAGCTTCAGACTACTCTGTGTTAAAAGAAATCCAAAACAAATGTTAGACACTGGAAATGCTTTCATCTGATGGTCCTTTCACTTGGCTGATAGTCCTTTCACTTCCATTCTTTTGTCTTTTAGGCATTAGGAACAGATCATAGAGAATATTGTTTTTGTGTAAGCTGAGCCCTGTAAGATAATAGTGCTCTATGTTTCTGCTAATCTTTCCCATTCACATGCGAAATAATTTTATGTGCACTGAAGCATGTGTGAATGTGCACCACCAGTAGAAACAGAAAGCACAAATGTGGGTACTCTGACAATCAGCTGGGCCATATTTGAATCTCTACTGAGCAATGCACAAGTGTGCAGCTCACAGTGAACACGGATCTAAATGGAGAATTTTTATGTTTGCCAACAAGCAACTTACCTTTAAGTCTATGAGCCCATTTCTTTTAACAGGCAAGTATGTGATACGAAAGCCTTCAGCCTCTAGATAACGGCAAGAGTCCAGCACACACTTGTGTTCTGTCTGAGTTGTAATAATATGCTTCTTTCTGGATTTATAGAATCTTGCAACACCCTGGCATTCACATTAAATGAAAAATAAAACTGCCATAAAATTGCTTAACAGGAGTCATTTACATATATTCAAAGGCACCTGACACCAAGCAAAAAAGTTTCCCTCGGCATCTCTTGGCATGACACGGTCTGAAATGGCTAATGGGAGACTCTCTCATGAAGAGAATCAGCCACAACATTCTTGTGAGCCTTACTCACAGGGTGATTCTGTGCAAAGAAACATTCAACCTGAAGAAGCAGGGAGGCAATAACCCCACATTCCAGCCCTCTTAAGACAATCCCCACCAGTGCTCCCTCTAAGCTGCACGGCCGCACAGCTTCACAGGTGATTCGTCGGCCCTGTCCAGTCAGTCAGCTCCATGCACAGAGCCTTGAGCTTCTGACCGGGTAGGGCAGATTAATCATCTGTGAATCTGCCCTGCCCCTCAGCTTAGAGCAGGGCTACTCAAAACTGGGCCCGTGCGCCTCATGTGGCCTATTTGTTTGCAGCCTACAGTGAGATTTGTGTTTATGCAGGGCTCAACCTGCGGCCTGTGGGTGGGAACCCTTGAACATGGCCTCCACTGGGAACACGCTCCACAACGGTGACGCATTTCCCAGGTGGGGTGAGCACTGAAAGACACAAGTGGACTGGCTCACACGGGCCATGTTTGAGTCTGGCACCGTGGCTTAAGGCTTAATCTTTGTATACATGCCCATCAGTGTGAATGCAGCTATTTGCATAGATATTTGCATGTATATGCAACCACACTTAAGTTGTGGCCCTTGGCATGTGCTGTGAGTTCATTGTAGCCCGCCGGGGTTCCAAAGTTGAGTAGCCCTGGCTTAGAGGCAACACACATCACCACTCTTTCTAATCATTTACTCAATTATAATCTACCAATGTTATTTGCACTAAACTAGACCATTTAGTTATTTACAATTGCTACCTAAATATATAGCTTTGAATTCTGGAATATTTATTATGAAAGGATTTATAATTTTCTGCTTCTTTGGAGTGAGATACTGTAGAATAAAAAATATTCTAAATATTAGTAAGGAAAATATTCACCTATGCTTTAAAGGATCGAACACTTTGGGAAAAGCTTGATAATCAAGATTTCTGCCACTCTTTATGACCAAGATTTGAGTTATATGGAACATAAAACTTCATCTGGCACATCTGGGACAAAAGGAGTTTTAATCCCCACATGCATATCAAAAACAGTTAAGGTTGAAGGGGGTGGAGGGGCGACTCCCCTGTGCTCTAAAACGAGGATGGACAATTTCAGGCCCAAAGGAATTTCTGGGACATCAAGGTTAACTGTGGGGATTTCACTACAGTTCAAAGATTTCTTCATTTTACAGAACAGGCTAAGTATGGCTCCTCT